ACTGCAATGTGTCTAAATTATAGTTACTCAAGCATCGACTGTAAGGACAATTCGGTAAGATGATACTTAACGCCCTTTTCTGTACTCGTTCGATATCATTACTTAAATACTCGGGCAATGCATGGCGAAAAACGGGCGAACAATATTCCAGGACAGGTCTAATATCAGTGCAGTAAAAGTTGATTATATCACTAGGGTCCACTCCCTCTCTCCTGAAGAGAACCCAAAGATATAATCTCTTATTTGCTTTCTTGATAGCCTCATATACTGACATGATCATTCCACGTAAGATCATTAGAGAAAGTCACACCTAAGATCTTGGCGACTGACATTACTGGAAAGTCAAAGAACTGATAGATAGCCAGTGGGACATGGAAAACATAACGAGTCACTTAGTGTACTCCCGTGCCCCGTTTCCCTTTCCCCGTTCCTGATTATAGTATAATCCAAAGCGAATATAACCTAACTAGACGCTTTTGCATGAGGTTTATATGGGGCTATCAGTCACTTAGATCGATTCTTTTTGGACCATAATGAGGATTATTTTGAGAATTAATTACCGCCGTACCTTTAATACCCGTATTTCTCTTTTTGCCAATTATCTACCAATTCGTAAAGGTATCCCAAGCACAACCAGTTGTCTTCGCTTTAAGTGTTTTTTTTTTTTTTCGGATACAACTGAATAATTTACATATATTGACTTATATTTACAATTCATTTTATTTACAAATACATCGGGCACCGGCTAACAGAAGTCTGCCCTGCAGGCTACAGGCGCGCGCTCCCAACAAAACTACCATATCAAAATAGTCTCTGATTAAAGAATCTAGACATAGGTAGGTGAAAATTTTCTGGAACGATATCTTAAGAATACATGGCGATACTTGGGCAATCTCCATGCATATACAAAGGGGTTCATGGCAGAATTAAGGAAAAGAAATCGCGAAAACACCACCTCCAACTGTCTAAAAAGTAATGATCGTTTACAAGATTCGCAAAACTGCATCAGATGTAGCGCAACGAATTCAGGCAGAACTGTCACGTAGAATAACGCCAACACAATCAGAATTGTCACGACCATGTTCTTTTCGCGGTCCAGGGCTTGTTTGCTTCTCATCGAGGACGTGATTCCAGCGTCTTTTAGTTCGCGTTTTCTTTTGCCGAAAGCGAGGAAAACTTTACAGTACATCATCGTCAATAGTATGGCGGGGAGCGAAGCGTGGGTGTGAGCATACACGATCTTGAATATTTCTTCAGGAACATTTGTCAGCGGTAGAAAAAACACGGTCACAGCAACTAACCAAATTAAAGCGATGCAATACCTAACTTTTTCCTTTGTCATGGTTGATCGGTATTTAAGGGGATGCATTACAGCAATATAGCGATCGCAGGACAGCGCTATGATGGATCCACTACTAACAAACAATGACAATCCAAGACCCAAACGGATTATAAGATCTAGCAACACGGGAACGTCCAAACCTTGATATCGATAGACATCCTTTACCCCCACAAGGTTACCAGCGATCAATCCAACCGCAAGATCAGAAACGCACAAGTTTGCGATCAACAGCGACGGGGGCGTTTCAAGTAGGCGACGACTGTCACGAAATATTGTCCACAATAGTGCTGCATTCGCCATTGTAGTAACTGCGGAGAGACCGAAATCCACCACAGCAAGAACGAGATGAAATGTAGGGCTGATCATCGTCATTGGATCATCTGTTGTTTGAGCGGAATTTCTCGGTGAAGAAAATGTATGCTCCATTAGTGCCAGTCACAGTTCAGAGTGCTACCTGTACTCCTGTCACGACCGATTTAAGGGCAAGTAGAAACAGTTTTCATCGAAAACTAAGACAAGCTGTTTTTATGTACCTTCTGGACAGTATATGCCTTCTTCAGTTCAGTAAACTATCCACTGTTCAGCGAGTGTGTGGTACTGGGACAATTAATTGAATGAATGGTCTATGCTCACGTTTTTGTTAAGATGCGATGCGCTTCTTCGAAATAAAGGAAGTGCGTTAGTATGACGTCACGAAAATTTGGTCAGGGATTGTTTCAAACCAGGGATTCTGAACAATTGTTTGAGCGAAGTTTGATTGCATGACAAAGAAAACGTCTTGTTTGTTAAATTCAAGTTTACTTAATTCTCTTGTGTTTTCCTATGAAATTCTAGCATCTTCAGCCCACATATTAATTCCCAACTTCTTCCGGTTAAATACTTAGAAAACCCTTCACCGAGTGTCACCCCGAAAAAGGAGCATATTATCTTTCGGAAATTGTAAACACAGCAGTACTTGAACATTTTTTAAAATTCAACTAAAAATAGGCGAGATGAGCATTTTAAAATATCTTTCATACACCGCTTTTGACCGTTCGGGCGCGTCCCAGTTGACTGCAGTTTCCATTTCCGCTGTATTCTTTGATCCAGTCAATCCCTCCTGGAGAGGAAGTGTGCGCTCATTTCCGCGAAGCAACCTAGCAACCAGGCAACACGTCAGCTCAGCTCAGAGGTCAAAAATCAAAAGGTACATTTCCTGTGTGTCATTCAACGACTTCGTCTCTGTGTCAAGCTCATTTTTATCGACCAGTTGGTCCAATCATCATTCAAAAGAACCATCAATATTTATTGTAACAAAAGTGACAATCGGATATTGAAGGTTTTAATTTGTTTAGTCATCAATCACACACGTGGATTGGGTTTGGACTGTCTCGGTTTCCCTTACGTCACCGTTGTAGTAGTGCTTTTGTGCAGTCCTCATTCTTTAGTACAAAATTTCACAGTTTGTAACTATACGCGACATTTATTTACATAATTCCAAGTTCCCATCAGGAAAATACTCGGAAG